ATTATGGAAGAGGGGATAGGGTTTAGGGTTTAGGGTTTAGGGTGCACAACTTCTAGCCAGGGCAGACAAGCTTATTACGAGCACCATATATTAATGTTTCTTCATTAATATCAAAACATAAATGTACAGTACATAAGTATTCGAATGTATTCATTTAAATGAGACAAAGTAAGAAGAGTGCTGATAGAAGAAGAGATGAAGCAGAAAAAGACGAGAGGATGCCCCTTTGTTTCTTTTTGTTCATCTCTGTTGAGATACAGATAGAGACAGAAACAAAGACAGAGATAAATATCCATTTAAATAGATAAGGACAGGAACAGAGACTGAGATGAATATACATTTATGTAGATAGAGGCGGAAACAAAGACAGATGAATACACATTTGTATTGATAAAGACAGAAAGAGACAGATATGAATAAACTTTTATCTAAAGACACCAAACAAAAAGCAGGCAAATATTGATTACTACTATCGTTATTAATACTAAACATATTGTTCTCTATTATTTATTACTGCAATTATACTTTTATATTTATATATTGTTTATTATTAAATGATTTATATTTGTCTGCAGCCAACAAACGAATGGCACGAAATGGAGGACCTGCGAGTTACGCCCGTTCTTCCTGAATTTGTTGCTTTATCAGGTTAGTTTGTGAATGATTTTAATTTATATTTTGGTTGTTTTTGCATGCATGCATTTGTTTATATGCTCGGGTGTCCTACGGGGATGTCTGTCATTGACGTGTATATCGATAGCAAAAAGTATTCATTGTTTGCCTGCTGTACATGCATGCAGAGTCTTATATTCAATTCTATCAAAGACAAGATGTTCTTCCAGATGGATCATTAGATGAAGCAATGAGACAAAAATGCCTCAAAGACATCAAAAACTCCAAAATGCGAGCAGCGCAAGCCGACGATATCGAAGATATATTCGCTTCTTAAAAAGCAACAAGACGAACGCTCAAAGCTAACGCGTGCAAACTTGCATGCAATCATGCATGCACGGAAGCATGCAACCATGCATGCAAGGATGCAAATTTGTTGCTTTATCAGGTTAGTTTGTGAATGATTTTAATTTATATTTTGGTTGTTTTTGCATGCATGCATTTGTTTATATGCTCGGGTGTCCTACGGGGATGTCTGTCATTGACGTGTATATCGATAGCAAAAAGTATTCATTGTTTGCCTGCTGTACATGCATGCAGAGTCTTATATTCAATTCTATCAAAGACAAGATGTTCTTCCAGATGGATCATTAGATGAAGCAATGAGACAAAAATGCCTCAAAGACATCAAAAACTCCAAAATGCGAGCAGCGCAAGCCGACGACATCGAAGATATATTCGCTTCTTAAAAAGCAACAAGATGAACGCTCAAAGCTAATGCA